ACGTTAATGATGCATAGCCTAATTCAACATTATAACTGCAGGCAAATGTTACAGAATCTGACTAATCAGATTTTTTTAATGCACATGTAACTCAGATCTTACATTTTCATGACAGTTTGCCCAGCACAAGCCACATGGAATCTAATCTTTTCAAATCAGATTTGGGCTACCGTTATGTGTTGTCCTAAAATCGGATACATTTCAGATCTTTTGCAATGTTACCTTAGTCTGAACAGTCAGGTTGAAATGCATGCTACTTTGGCGTCACTCCTGCCTTGACAGTATCCCAGAGAGACGCTGAACAAAAAAGTTCAAAATGATCTTAAACATCCTGAAATGTTGTAATAAATTTCTGTCTGTGAAGCAAAAGACATCCCAAGCCCATGACTCCTGGCACCACATCTGCATCCACTTGCACCTCTGTACAAACGCAGATGTTGATTTTCTTTCTGCTCTTCCACAATTTGAACATGAAAGTGTAATCCACGCTTACTTCAGTGGCCGTCATTTTTACTTCTGTAAACAATGTGCTGTGTGTCATGTCTTCTTTTTAGTTCAGGACTGTGACCAGCTCACACGGAAAATCTTAACCAGGCCACATTTAAAAATTAATGTGAAAAGCCAAACTAGCCAAAAATCATATCTAAGCAATAAATCAGATTTTCCCATTAAGGCTTGTAGTGTGACCATAGTCTTTATGACATTGTATTGTGAACCATGTCAAGAGCTGATGCTAAAATCCCCTGATTCAGTTTCTTGAAATAAATGTCTTTCAGTGTGTTAATTACAAAAATCTCTTGTCAAAGTCACCAGTCAGTTTCTTTACTTACAAAACGAAAGTACAGGCAGGTCTGCAGTTACTTATCACAGATGTTTCCCTGTTGTTAGGCTGTAAAAAAGCATTAGGGAAATTACATAATGACAGAAGACATGGTTGACTAATTGCTGCTATGTCTGTTGCCAAAACAGCCGAAGACACTTAAAGAGAAGCTTGTTGGCAGAGCATCAAGACAGCAGGTGGGCAGCTGTGGATGCTGTTAAGTTTCTCTGAGAAGTCTGCTGTATATACTCTGTTATTATTTTGATGGCATAAGGCCCCATGTCCACCTAGCGTTTTTTTTCTGAGCGTCAGTGTTTTTTTAAAAATTGTTTTCAATGAGTAGAGAGCGTAAGGGCAGCACCCAGTGTCTTTTTTTCCGAGTGATCCGCCTTTTGTCCGCTTCGAGCACTCAAGTTGAAAATCTTTCAACCTTTCAGAAAGGCGTCGTTGACGTCACCAGCGCTATTTTCCAAATGTATGATATTCCCCGTGGCTTTGACGACTATGGATCGTATCTTGTACCCACATCCTCTTCGTTGATCGGGTAAAAAACAATCTCAAATATAAAACAAGCAGTAAAAAGTAACAGAGCAGTGTCGGTCATACAGCGGCCGTTGTCAACAGACTGTTGTCATAGAGACAGGATCGACGTGGATCGCTTTTCTTCTCAGTGCATAAACACTCCCGAGCGCACAGCCAGCGCTTTTCTACCTGGAAAAAAGCCAGGTGGACACGAGGCCTAAACCATGTCATACGTACTCACATGTAAATCTCTGTTTTATCGGGGAAAGCTGTTCATCTCTGTAAACAAGAATCAACCTCGGTCACATTTTTTGCTCTACATAAAGACTGTGTTTTTTCTAGTTAAACCAATAAAATCTGTGTCCCGATGGGCTGTCGAGGTATTCTGGGAAAATGTAGGGCATCACATCAAAGTCACTGGACAATATTTTAAAATAACTCCTGGAAAGCTTGAAGATGCCAAAAGGATAATTTGCTAATGAAGTCTGGTTCACATTAAGTACACCCTTGGGTCATTTCCTGGCCACATGGAGGGAATAATCTTCACAGGTTTCAGTCAAATGCTCATTTGAATTTCAGATCAGGGTGAAGAAGAAGGTGTGTGTGTGCGTGTGAGTGCGAGTAAGTGTGAGTCAGACACAACAGATGCAGGAATATCACCACCTTCTGTGCTCTCTTTTTTGGCTGTCAAACATTCACGTACATGGAGGTGATTTTCAGCATCCTGCAGCAGATGGTGAAGAGAGCTTTCTGACTCATAGAGGGAAAAAGAGAGAGACGGGGGAGACAGACAGGGGGAGGGTGGGGGAGGGAGAGAATGTAGAGGCAGTAAGGTTGGGGGGGAGAGAGAGAGACTTGGCTTCGTGTGTGCTTTTACAGAGCTGCTGAAATGACGTAAAAGAAGCGAGGTGAGTGCGTGGGTGGATGCTGCGTCTTTTCCCTCCCTCTTCTCTCCTTTTAGTACTCACGTCTGGCCACATGGTGGAGCTCTTCCCCTCCTTGTAGAGACTGCATAGAGGTGAGTCAAGGAGTCCCAACACATACAAACACATGCAGCCTCATGCTTGTTTATTTGACACTTTAATCACTGCACAAGTTCGACTGATTAAAGGTTAAATTATCACCGACGTCATAGAGACTCATGCTGTATTGGTAGCTATTCATTAAGAAGGGTTAGTGGGAGTCCCAGTCATAGTAATGTTCTGACGCCAGTTCGACTTTGTGGTACCAAAAGATATCAAGACTTGAGTATCAGTCCTTTATGGATGTTACAAAAAAATAAAGAAAACGTAAAAAAGATAATCCTAGAATTGTCATCGTTAATATGAATTATTTCACAGCTGTGTTTGACCGACCCTGCATAGTTCTGATTATGACTCATCGTTTATTTCCTGGCTTAGCACACCAAAGACGTTTTTTTTTCTTCCTAAAACATGCTGAGCTAGCGTTAGCAGCAGTACAGCTAACAGCCCCCTGAAGAGTGACTGAGAAACATATTTTGTAACATGTTTTTTATCAGTTTTAACAATATTAACTGTAAAATAAAAATCTAGAGCTTTAATGTTTGTGAAAATAAATCACTTCAGACCCCAGAACAAGATGATCATCCAGGAAAAAGCTAATCCAACGTTAGCAACAGACAGTCCTACAGATTGTCTACCAACGTGTCCTATCAGTACGCGAGCGTTGGATATCGCGTTGCATTGCTCACGCTCGCAGTCCACACTGCATCGGTTAAATATTTCATTCTTTGCTCTGTGAATTTCAGTTTCCCCTTCAAACTGTTTGATATCGAGTGCTTTTTGTATTGAAGGCAGACAAATAGATGTTTGGAGGTTTGTATTGACGAGCTTTTGACTCAAATCACAACATTCGACGAATTAAGATTTCTTTGAATCACAGATGTGATTATTAATAATGCAACAAGCTAACAAGCTAACATGCTAACAAGCTATGTTAGTGAGAAAAGCGAGTACCAGTGCCTTGTAGAACCCATTCTAGTTCCTAGTCCGTCTACGTGAGCGGCAGAGAGGAAATTAGAAAAGCGGGCATCGAGTTAGGACACTCCAATAAGCAACAATAAAATCAAGCTAATTTTGTCGCTAACGCTGACTTGTGTTTAACTCCAGTGCGGCTGCCGTCTGATCGGAGTCTCCCTGAAACGCCACCTCTCTCCCTCGTTGCTGTTATGCAAGCAAGGAGTGGTTTAATAATTCATCGGATTCTTTTTTTGTCACGGCTTTCCTTTAACACCACAGTGACCCGTGATATTGACTCACGCTCTCTCACGATCCCCACACACACACGCTCGCAAGAACACCCACACACACATATAATGTCACGCAAACACCCACCAACACACACGCCAGTGGATTAATGCCGTTCCAGCACACACACACACACACACACACACACTAAAACAATACATCACAACTTTATTCTGTTGTTGTTCTTAGTTTATTTGGCAAATTATTCTCCACTTTTTTTTCCATTTGTTTTTTTTCTTCTTGTTTATTTACAATAGTAAAAATAAATCTCTCTCTTTAAGGTTTTACATTCGACATTTACAAGTGCAATGTGTAACATGTCCATCTTTATAAAGTGCATTTGTACTTTTTATCGACAGTTTTCACGACACAAAACTTAAAGAGGACTCGAAAATAAATAAGACGTAATACAAAAGAAAAACATGATTCAAGGACACCGCTTTAGGTCTCTGACATCACAGTTTCATGACCCACAACACCTTGCTCGCTTTGAGGACGCTCGTGCACACGCTGCTTCCTCATCCACACAAACATCAACGCATAAAACAATGTGTTTTCCATGAAGGCCATACTCGGTCCGATAGAAAATTAGCTCTGTAGTGGTTTTTTTTTTTGATTGACAATCTCTGCTCACCAGGTTGTTGGTTTTAGATGGAAATCGTTAGCCTAGCGTAGCATTGCCTAGCTTAGCCTAGCCTGGGTGATGCTTACTTGTTGTTAGCACTCACCCTAGAACCCTGCTTTAAAAACTCTTTTTGCTAATGTTTGTGCTCAGAAGAGACAAAAAAAAAGAAGATGGACAAGAGGAATAAACAGCCAAATATGAACGGGTGTTTGTGCAAAGGAGATGACACAAAAACAAAATCTTAGAGGAGGATAAATCTGACGTTTTGCTGATTCTTCCTTACCACCTCACTCCCATCTTTTATATTCTTTCTTTTCTAAGCGTTCTTTTTTCTTCACTCTCTTCACCTGCTTTCAGAGTGACTATTTTTAGACACGGACTGACCGACCAGCTTCCTCCAGTCCGAGGATAGCAAAAATGTGATCGGAGATGATGGGAGGATTCGAGACGATGATGAGGAGAAAAAGCAGACGACAGAGGGGGATGTTGGAAACAGCAAAGAGGACAAGAGGGAGGAAAAAAAAAAAGGTTGTTAAAAAACGGAGAACCAGTAGGAGGAGGAAGGGAAGAAATGAGGGGGATGTCTTTGAAACGACCTGCTCTCCGAGACATGATTCAGACTAAAAATGACGTCACTGGAAACCGGACTCTGTGACGTACAATGCTGTCACGCCGATTATCTCTCCACCCTTTTTTTTCCTCTGTCGTTTAGTGCACGTCTTTTAGTGGAAAAAAAAAGCTCCGATTACTGCAAGTCAATAAGAAAAAGCACATTAAGAAAAAGGCAAATTTCCTCGTGTTAGCTCAGTTATGTGATCAACAATGTCAAGGTCAAGTCCAGCTTTCTTTCGTTATCCTGCTGCTCATGGATGCCATTTTTGACCAGTTTCTGTTCTTTACAGATGTTTCAGGCTCAACCATGACAACAACATCTCAGACAAATGTGTATGTACATAAACAGAAAGATAAGACACTAGAAAGTCAAAAAATATGGCACTTTTTCAGCATATCCGACACACAACCTCTTGTCCCCCCCCCCCCCAACATTTGTTTTGTAGGAAGAACACCGAAGAGGAAGAAACACACACACACATACACACACTCACAACATGCTCACAGCAGCGACCATATTTTGTAACTCATGCCCTGATGAACATTACAAAAATATACATTTCTGTACAGCATTGCATAATAAAAATAACACCCACACTCACTTGTACAGTATTTTTTTTTTTTAAATGGAATTATACTCCTGTATAGCGGCCGACAAAAACCATTGTGTGTGTGTGTTTGTGTTTACAGTGAGAGTAGGTTGAGTTATGGTTCATTACAATTGGCTATGATCCCAAGGGGGGGAGACACACACACACACACACAGATACACTCACACATAATACACACCCTAGTAGGCTCACACACACAGTGAGAGGTCGCTCCACTCCTGCCCGAGGAATGGTTGGACTAAGTTGTGGCATATTCACAGATGAGTGTTCGCATTTGTTCAACAATCACAAGATGGAAACGCCAGATGGGACAGTCGGACAGTTTGAAATACAGCTGCGTGATGCTACTAACAATGCTAACTTTAGCCGTTTCTGTCACTCTTGATCAAGCTGAGCTGTGGTGGATTTGAGGCTTCACTTCATCCCTCCAGACTTGGGTCAAATAATCATCCTTGAAAAGTTGAAATGAAGTGAACATTTTATTGGCAATATGCACACTGTGTCTAGAAGCATGAGAAGCTAACTGCTACTAGCCAGAAACATGCTAGTGCTAGTCAGGCGCCATAACATCCTTATAGTCCTTACATTGTGTCTGGACAGTGACGTATCAATTAGCTGACAGTAAAGACTTTTATTTGACTGTGAAACAACGAAGACATTACCTGATGATAACATGTTTCTTGAAGCGCTGACAGTTCATTGTTAGCAAGCTAGTAGGCGGTCAACCTCCTAGTGCTAGTCAGACGCATGAACATCAACAGCTTCATTGTATTTTATGTGTGCTCTCTCAATACTATGAAGTTTATATTAGAACGCAAAAAAAACACCCAAATAGTTACAAAGAAAGGACACAGTTTTTTTTGTTAACGTCCAAAATGGCCCCCGAAAAAGTATCAAGCTAACCAGGTGCTAATTTTACTTTACAGGCTAATTCCCGCCAGAAAGTGTTCCAGCAAAATGTCATAAAATGTGTCTCTGAATGCTTGGTTAGGCTAACTGCTAACATAATCACCAGCCTCATGCTATCCCTTGTAGAGTAGTTGTAAAGTTAGCTCACTGCTAACGTACAAACCAGCCCGAGACATGCTCGCACCGGTAGCGCACAATTTGAGCCTCTTTCAGTTTGCTATGAACTATATTATGTAAAACAACATTATAAGTGTCTCTAGAGGTTGATAAGCTTTCTGCTAGCATGAATGAGCAACAGTGAAGTGCTAGCAACGAACACTAACATGCTACATTGTAATAGTATTTGATGCTATAAGTTGGTAAGCAAACGCTAGCATGCTAGCTAATTGGCATCGTGATAACAATAGCCAGGATCATTAGAGTACCGGGCTTCTTTTGTTATTTCTAATGTCACATTTTAGTGAACTGATAGATTTCTCATTGTGATAAAATGCTATGCTAACACATGTATGGTTCCATCATTCATCCTTGTTTGATCCAAGTCTGGTTCATGTTCCCAAAGTAACACATACTTTGACTAATTGACAGAAAAGGAGGTTAAACTGTGGGACGGCGTGAAAGCAAGATCTTGTGATGTCCCATCAGTATGACATCGAACGGGCTAGCTAAAAATGTAAGCGTTGTCCCATCTAGCATCTCCAAACACAGGTGACTAAGCAAGTCTCACACATCATTGTGCATACAGGATACCTGTGTGCCAACAGGACCTGCATCAGATACCTGAAATAGATTCAATTTACTCTCTGTGATCGATTAGTTTTGCCTTGGCACAATTGATGATTCACCCCCCCAATAGTGCTGAAATTCACCAAGTGTGCCAAAACTCCATCAATCCCCAACTTCTGAGGCATTGAAGCTATTTCAATGTATAAGCGATACAAGTCTTTAAACCAATAGGCAGTTCTACCGATGCAGCGATTGAGCAAAAAGAGAAACGGCAGAAGGAGGTGGTTTTGAATTTTTCTAGCACGTGTGACCCTTTAACCGTTATTTTTACCTACCTCACGTGCAACAACAAATAAAAAAATTAAGCTAATTTTAGAGAGTAAATATGAGAACGTGGCGAGACCTGTTTTTCTGCAAATGGAATCTATAAATGGAAATAGAGCATTCGTTTTATATTTGGGTTTGTCCTACTTTCATACTACCCTGACCAGCCAGCCAGGCCACTTTTTCTCTCAAATCTGCTTTTTTGTTGCTTTGACGTTTTTCCTTTTTTCAATCCTACAGATCATTCAGAGTTAACCACCTTGTTCCGGCCACTTTCTCTTCTTCTCCATTGTGGCTTTTTTCTTTTTTGTACACAGCGAAACACAGTTGGACATTATTGCAAAGGGACTTCTTTTTTTTTTGTTCCGATAAGGCCCGATAAACTACAACAAAACAAACAAACAAATAAAAGACACAAGAGATTCTGTCTTTTTCCCCGAACAAAGACCGTTGTGGTGTCTGCTTAAAACTGATTGTTTGCTGCTGCCAAGAAAAATATTTAAAAAACGCTGTAGGTCTTACTTTTGAATGTACACTGTAGAAAAAAACAAAATACCTGCATCTCCTGAGCGCCAAAGTTTGTGTTTTCTTTGCTGTCGTTTATCATCGTATATTTGGTAGAAAGCGTTAATTTGGAAGTGTTGTGACAGAAACAACCTGTATTTTGAGTTTACACTGATTTTTTTTGTTTGTTTTGTTTTTTTCTTGTTTTACAGCCTGTTCAGTTTCCATGAACTTATTTTCCCAAAGCCAGTTAACCTCCCACAATAGTTTATCAGCAGCATGCCGGTAGCTTAGTCATGACTCCTTTCTGAGTGGAAACGACATGGATCGTTTTAATGCTGATAAGAGGTCGGTCATAAATCTCCTTCCCAGCTCGTCCTGACTTCATCCTCCGTACATTAGGCCAATTCCCCGCTCTCTTATTACTGCCATGTTATTAACGTTAGCTGGATTAAACGTACACGATGCCCCCCTGCAGAGGGACATAACATTATCGTGATTGGGTTTGTGTGTGGTGGACGTGACCCAAGGTTACGTTAAAGCGCGTCTCACTTGGTGTTTCTATTTCACGCCGCGTCACCTCGCCTCTCTGGCTTCTCATTAACCCGCCCGGCCTTTAGAGGGGCCCCCCGGGGTGACAGAGCTTGCTGCTGTGTGTGTGTGTGTGTGTGTGTGTGTGTGTGTGTGTGTGTGTGCAGTCAATGAGCTGCAACTGCTGACAAGTAGGGAAGTAGAAAAGGGAAGAGAAACAAAGTCCACATTTTTGGAATAAATCACGCCGTGGAAACCAAAGCAGAGACTTGGACGTCCTGTAGCCAGCCACGGCCGTCTAAATGAAAAATGACCTACTCGATATGGATCATGCTCAGCTTTAGCTAATGGATAATCAATCAGGCGACGGAGCTAAAGCGCCGCGTCTAAATTTAGAAGCTATACGGGGGCCTAAACGGCGCTTTGCAGATGCAGATAAACATCTGGAAAAAACATCAGCTGCTTTCACCTCGCCCCGTGTCAAACGCCTTGTTTTACCGGGCGCTCATGGGGCCATACGTTGCTTCTTTTTTTTTCTCATGCATAATTTCTGTGGCTGGAGATGTAGGAGAGATGAGGAGACACATAGAGGACGGGGGGGGTCAAAGTCGCACCATGAGATCTCAAGTGGATGTTGAAGGTCGATTTCAGCTTTGATTGGAGTCGTTTTCTGCAGTCACCTAAACGTAGAGTGACTTTGATTGTCTTTTTTTCCCCCCTTAATCTTCTCTTTTGTGACCTGAATACCTTCAAATAAAAGCTACAAAATTTGCAATTCCGAGAAGAATGAATCCAATTAAAGCAACGTTGGTGGAAAACGAAGCCTTTAGATTTGAGTTTTAAAAAGTGATGCAATTGCTTTTGAGTCTAGACATGAGCTAATGGCTGAAATTTTCCATGGGCTCTTTCCTTAAAACCAGAAAATATGAGTGATTTTAAAGAGAATGGACAAATCCGGCATATAATATAATATTGTTTGTCTTTTCAGGGTTGAATCAGGAAAATGTCCCTGATAGTATTGGCGAAAAATGATACCTTCCTTCAAAAAATTTCAGTAAACACCACCAAATGCGATGCAAAAATGAACAACTCCTCTCAAGCTGGAACGGCCCTCAACTCATATTCCCCCTCTCAAGATGGTGTAGAGAACAGCGTAGCCTACTTTCCAGCGCTCTTCCCCCCCCCCTGCAGCCGAGAGAGCATTCCCAGGGAAGCAGTGCGGCTGCAGTGGCGCTGTCCTTGGTGCTGATTTCAGCTCTCTCCCTCGCCTTGCTCGCTCGCTCGCTCGCTCCACAGTCACGGCGTAGCAGCTGGCTGAGAAACTCGTTTTTTTTTCTCCGACAAGAGAGCAGATTTGATTTCATGACACTCAACACAAACACACTAGTCTACAGATGGAAATCCCTCTCTAGGTTTTGCAAAATTGACACAGTTATGTATGCTTTCAAGGTCTGATCGTTCAGGTTTCATTGTGGATTTTTACATTTTTTTTGAGCAGGGATGGCACATAAATAAAGCTTTGTCTGGATTCTGACTTCTGGGCTTGTGGCTTTGGGAAAAGTCAAACTGAGGCTCAGGCCAGCTATGTTAAAGATCTTGAACAACTCATTTCTATCCCGGCACACACAGTTCTTTTTGCATCCTCTGTCTACAAATCATAAATTAATTAATCTGCACCAGATCAAGGGGGAACACGGGTTGCTTAAAAGCGGTTTCAAGAGAGGGAATAGTCTTGATTTTCCCTTTTCAGAAGAAGACTGCAGAGATAGCTCATCGAAACGACTCAAGGTCATTCATTGGGTACATTTAGCTCATTTTTTAGTTCAAACAAATTCAGTATTTTTAAAGACTGTTTCCACTCCTTCTGATTGCATAACCATGCAGCGGCTGCCTGAGCTCCTGTGGAGATTTAAAAAAACAAAACTTCGACCATCCCGTAAAGAATGCTACTCTTTGAGAAGTAGGCCTCGCTTCCTGCGCTGGTTGGGAAAGTCGCCCTGACTAACTTCCACAACCACCATGAGGATACCGTAATCAGGTTTTTGCAGTTGGTTTCACACCACCTCGAATCACATGATCTTTATCAGCTGTATTTTATTTTTATTTTTTTGACCATGCAAAGTTCCTTCCTTCTAGCCCGGGCCAGACGTGCCTTTTGCTAGTAGCCTACCAGCGTTTAGAGGAAGTCTCTTTTCCTTGCCCGCCAGCCTTTCCGCCCGTTCCCAAACCTCTCTCGTAGCCACCCGGACTCGGCGTGAAGACTCAAACCGAAAACAGACAACAAACCTTCACTCGCTACACGTCACTGGAGGTCCTCGGTCTGAGGGAGAGATTGGATGGGACGCACCCGCAGCACGCCATCCACAGCGACTTCTGGATGTCTGGGTTGCGGAACGCATAGATGATGGGGTTAATCACAGAGCAGCAGGTCGCTGGTAGGACGGTGGCGTACGTGTATATTACAGGGTAGGTCGAGTCCGCGACAATCGAGTACATGGCGAATGGGAGCCAGCACGCCCCGAAGGCGCACAAGATGGCTGACAGCGTGGAGACTCCCTTGGTGGTGGAGATGGCGACGAACTGATGCTGCACGGCGATCTGCTGCGCGTGGCGGAAGGCGATCTTGCAGATCTGCAGGTAGAGCTGCATCATGAGGGCGAAGACGAGGAGGAAGGTGACGGCGAGCGCCACAGCGTTGATTTTGGTGACGGGCCTGCAGATGCTGCACGCCGAATCGTCTCTGAGGCAGTTCCAGCCGAGCGCCGGCAGCAGTCCCAGCGTGAGACACAGCACCCAGATGAAGATCACCATCACGTAGGTGTAGGTGACGGTCCGCTCCGTGTGGTAGGTCAGGGCGTTGTACAAGGACAGGTAGCGGTCCACCGTGATGGCGAGGATGTTGAGGACGGACGCTGAGAAGGCCGAGATGAGCAGCGCGACCGACAGCAGCGTCACAAACTCTACCGAGCTGTCGACCAGATACGTGAAGACGAAGTTCAAGATGAGGCCCAGACCCGCCAGGAGGTCCGCCACCGCCAGGGACCCGATCAGGATGAACATCGGAGCGCGCAGCGTCGGCGTGTAGAACAGCACGGCGATCACCAGGGCGTTCTCGCAGGAGATGAGCGTCCCCGTCACACAGAGCGCCACATCCCAAGGGCTCACTTCCTGGACAACCACGGCGGTGGTCGCCGGCTGGAGGTCCGGGGTCAGAGTCCTCGCGACCGGTTCGGAGGAGGAGTTGGACGGGTCCTCGCCGAGGCTCCAGGAGGTGGAGGAGTCGAAGGGGTCGAGGAGGGGGGAGGAGGAGTTGAGGCTGCTACTGCCGCCACTACTCATGGCCGCTACCGCAGCCAGGGAGAGAATCATAGCTGGAGGAAGTGAGAGAGGAAGAAGGGAAGGAGGGAAGAGATAAGTCAAGAATGAGTGGAAGGACAGCAAGTAGAGAAAAGAAGGAAGGGAAGATGGAGGAGGTGAGAAATGAGAGGATAGAAAAATGAAAAACAATTGAGAGAGAACAAGAGGAAGAGAAGAAGAAGGGGAAATGGAATTAGGAGGTTGAATATGCACAAGAGGAAACCAAAAGGATTTGGGAATTAGAGAAAGGGAGTAAAAGTTCAGAACAGCAACGATAGGTCGAAACATTAAACGAGAGGAAAAACGAGAAAATAAAACGTACCTATGAAAGGAGGAGAGCAATTTTGAGGATGCGAGAGAAGAATGTTGGGAAAATGGGGAAAAGAAAAACGAAGGGAAGTCATGGGAAAAGTCGAGACGAGAGAGAAGAGGAAGTAAAAGACCAAAGTCGAGGACAAAACAAAAGTAAAGGACAAGAAAGATAAGCAGCATATATCCCACTCTGCTAAAGAGGCAACCAAGTTATATTCCATCCAAACGCCCATTCAATCACTCGTTCATTCATCCATTCATGAAAACAACCGAGCTCTTGAACCCGGGCACGCACGTCACCAGCAGCTCCCCCGCACCATGCTGACAGGTAATTAGCAGCGGCACAATAGCAGGTGTGAACATGCACACAGAGATGGAAATGTATCCATGTGTATTCCTTCCATTTTGTCTCAGGAGAAGACCCAGTCAAGACGTTTAATCACACACAAAAACAAACAACAGAATCCAACAGCAACAAAATAAAAAATAAAAAAAGCGTGAAGTCGGTGCGTTCCTACCGAAAAGGTTCCAGAAATCGAAGCAGATTTTTGATTTCCTCGCAGTCCAAACCATCATCAACAAATTCTATTTTTAGAGCATCTCTAAAAATGGTGCATGACGTCCTGGGGCACGGCGCGGTGGTGGTGGCGGTGGTGGTGGTGGTGGTTAGCTGCTTGTCCTATTCACCGGTGGCGTGTATGTGCGCGTGCCCCATGTGTGCGTGCATGCGTGTGCGCATCGAGAGCCTCCTTAATTTTGGATTCTCATCCACATGCTGCTGTTGCCGCACGCAGACAGACAGACAGACAGAAATCCAGGCAGAGGCTAATTTTAGCACTGCCAGCCCGCCGCGCGCCAAAAATGTTGATGTGGAGCTCCATTCACAAAAAAAAAAAATCCTCCCCTCTCACACCTCCCATCTCTATCTCCACACACACACACACACACACACACACACACACACACACACACACACACACACACACACACACACACACACACGAACCCTTCCTTAAACCCCCCCCGCCCCCTTATTTCTCATCTCTCTCCTCCTCCTTTCTTTCTCATGTTTCATGTGCGCGCGCTCACACACGCACGCATGCCGTCCATGACTGCAAACGGCCGGGGGAAGGTCACCACCACCACGAGCTTCCTAAAAGCCCCCCCCCACCACCCCCGCAGCTGAGTGGCTTTTCATCCCTGCGGTTTAGAGGAGCTCGTGCAGCATCCACCTTTACAAAGCCACCATGCAAGCGCGTGCAGCAACAAACAAAACAAAAAAAGAAGAAAGGAAATCCATTCACGAGCTTTTATAACCCTCCTAAGAGTGTTTGTTTTTGTTGAAGCAATAAATAGGAAAATACCTGGATCAGTTTCATTCAGCTGCAGCAGTGCAGTCCCTGAGCCAGCGCGAGCGAGTGAGAGAGAGAGAGAGGGGGGGGAGAGAGAGAGAGAGGGGGAGGGAGAGAGGGAGGGAGACCACGCCACAGAGACAAAAAAGGAGAAAATTACCAGCTTGTCTTCTTCTTCTCCCCTGCAGGAAACCGGGATATCTCTCTTCCCTGTATCCTCCACGATGTATTTATATGTCTTCTTCTTCTTCTTCTTCTTCTTCTTCTTCTTCTTCTTCTAGGGTTTCCCCCCTCTCGTTCTCCCCCCTTTTTCTTTTTTTTTTTCTTTTTCTTTTCCCAGTCAGCGGAGCGCGCTATATTCCTCGGTTGGCATGGTTATTAGCCTTCTGTCGGAAGCTCCGTCCTCGCGCTGCACATCCTCGGCCCCTCATTGGAGGCGCGTGTCATTCTCCTCCTCTGACGTCAGAAGAATCCGCTCCTCCAGTCCCCGTCATCATGGTCGGTGTGTGAATCACGGGAGATGAGACTGAGAAAAATAAAATAAAAACTACACCACAAGTACAGAAAATGTGTGCTGGATTAATATTTTTTTAGTTCCTTTTTGACTGTTTGAATGTTTATTTATTGATGTATTTATTTTTAGTTTTCATTCAGGTGAGATGTGAATACAAATGCGTGGTGGGGTTTTCATCCCACCTGACACGCTCACACCGACTCAAAAGTACAGCGTGTGACTCCGAGGTGAGTCTGACTCCCCTCTGTCCTCCTACCTCAAACATTGCGTGACAAGGTGTAAAAAAAACAAAAAAGTCATGTTTCTTAATATTTTAATTTTTTTTTGTTGTTGTTTTTTTTGCATCTTGCACGTGGTGCCAGTGAAAGCAGCTTTAAAGCAGGATGCTGGTGGTGGTGGTGGTCCTGCTGGTGGTGCTGCTGCTGGTGGTAGTGGTGGTCCCGCTGGTGGTGATGGTGGTGGTGGTGGTGGTCCCGCTGGTGGTGGTGGTGCTGCTGCTGCTGGTGGTGGTGCTGTTGCTGGAGGTGGTGCTGCTGGTGCTGCTGGTGCTGGTGCTGCTGGTGCTGGTCCCGCTGGTGGTGGTGCTGGTGCTGGTGCTGCTGCTGGAGGTGGTAGTGCTGGTGCAGCTGGTGGTGGTGGTGGTGGTCCTGCTGCAAGTTGTGGTGATCCTGGTGGAGGTGCTGGTGGTGCTGCTGATGGTGGTCCTGCTGGTGCTGGTCCTGCTGCGGGTGGTGGTGATCCTGGTGGAGGTGCTGGTGCTGCTGGTGGTCCTGGTGGAGGTGCTGCTGGTGGTGGTGGTGGTCCTGCTGGTGGTGGTGCTGGTGTTCCTGCCCGTGGTGGGGTTATGCAACCTCAGAGCGCTGCTGGCTCTCCGACTGCATTACTCACGTGTGCACTCACACATATGTGAGCATGCCGGGCTCATACGTGTCGTCATGCGTGAAGGCAGAGCGCTGAATGTGGAGACGACCATGTTCAGACAGCACACTGTGTGTGTGTGTGTGTGTGTGTGTGTTCCTCCACATTGTGTGGACTAAAGAAACACTGATTAAGGTGTTAGACGTAGACTACTGGATAGAGACAGAAGCGTGTGCTGGGCAGGACTATTCATTTATAAGATGAGTTTCAAATGCAGAATGGACCCACAAAAAACCCATAAAAAGAACAATCAAAAGTGACAGCTTCATGATAACTGAATAATCAGTCTCTATTCTTTAGACTGAAAAAAAAGCTCCTGAGGAAGTCTCTTTGCTCGCCCACCAGCCTTCCACCTGTCCTCCTCTGGATCTCTTGTTTCCCATTCCCCCTCACACGACCCGGACTCAGACACTGGAGGTCCTGGGTCTGAGGGAGAGGTTGGATGGGACACACCCACAGTGACTTCTGGATCATGTCCGGGTTTTGGAACGAGTAGATGACGGGGTTAATCACAGAGCAGCAGGTTGCTGGTAGAACCCTAAAAAAAACAATTAGCATCATCGATCAATCTGGAATAATAATGTCTTGGTATACATTCCTTATAAGTTCATCAGACTTCATGAATAGAATTCAAAAGGCTGAAATAAAGTCTTTAGGAAAACTGACAAAAGTAAAACTAGAACCAAGGACGTTGATCTTGTGAGTCTGGAGTTTGAACCACTTAGCCTTCATCGACAATGACTCGTTCAATGTGAGCACATACGTTGTTAGCTTTTGGTCGTGTGTCGTAAGCGCTTCAGTCGTACAACGTGAGCTGACAATCCACCTCGGACGTTGTGTTGTGTGATGCTAGCATGTAGCGTCATACTAGCATGACAGTAGGTAGCTTGATATGATGTAATGGTGATGTAGCGTGTCGAAAATGTTAGCTAGTTAGCTAGCTATGTAGCCTTTGGCTAGGCAGTGTGATAAAATGTAGCTTGACAAAACGTCTGGGATCTTAGAGGCAATTTAATTCATCAAATATGTTATGTCCCTTTCAATTTTGTCCAAACTTGATTTTTGGACAAAATATTCAAATCTTTTTTCAGATTTTTACCTTTTTTTTCATCCTTGCTGACTTGAATACCGAGGAATTGGAAGGTCAAAAATGCTAGCTTCTTTCGTGTTTGCAGGACCCGTTTATTCAGCTCTCTGATGTGGTCTCGATAGTTACACAGATTCTGTTCAGATCCCCCAGAACTCTAGAACTCTCAACCCCCCTCCCCACCGGATTGTTGATGGACGGCTTGCCTCCCCCACCCCCTTGCTCCCTATCCCTCTTCCTGCATCTTATCCCATCTCTCCCCCTATCCCCTTCCAAGCCCGGCACAGTCTAGGCCTGTGAAGGCTGTTTCGTCATGAGCCGGGGATCCGGTTGAAGATTTCTGCCTTTTAATAAGGCAGTTTTTTCTTACCACTGTAACTTTTACTCATGATGGATAGGCCGGGTCTTTGTAATATAACATTAAGTAAGGTCTTTTACCTGCTTTTTGTAAAGTGTCTCGAGATAACACTTGTTATGATTTGACGCTATACAAATAAAAATTGATTGATGAATTGATTGATTGATTGATTGATAGGACCGGCCCTGCTGTTGTTTTTTTCTTGGATATTGCAAAGATCTAATCCTTGAGAATAATGCCGTTATTTGTTAAATTGGTGCGTGATGTTCTGATTTCAAGTCTCGTAAAAAGGTTAAAAAAAAAACGATATCAAGCTCAATCGCATCATTTCAAAAACTCCTGATCTGGCCCACACGGTCTCCAAACCTCCAACCCTGTCTTCGTCTTTGTCATATTTCTCTCCCTTCTTTCTTTCTTTATTCATTGTTAAGCCCACAAGCCAAACAATAAATAGAAAAAGGAGAGATATTTT